TCCTCGGGAAAAGGCCGCAGGGACCGCGGGTGCTGTACAGACGGAATCTACACGTATGTACACGCCCGCGCGCTATGTACACTGTACAGAGAGAGACACAGGGGGACGGGGACAAGGTACAGACACACGTACGCACGTTCGTTCGTGAGGCCGCACACGCGGGGAGGCCGAGGAGGGAGGCCAGGCCGGGACCCTTGGACCAGCCCCGAGACCGGAACGGAAAAGCTAAGACGATTCCATTTTTTTTTTTGAGTCGGAGTCTCGCTCTGTCAACCCCGGGGTAGAGTGAGTGTCGTGGTGTCGGCCTAGCTCACAGCAGCCTCCACCTCCTGGCCTCCAGCGAGCCTCCCGCCTCAGCCTCCCTCCCGAGTAGCTGGGACTACAGGCATGCGCCACCACGCCCGGCTAGTTTTTGCTGTATATATTTTCTTAGTTGGCCAATTAATTTCTTTCAATTTTTTTTTTTAGTAGAGACGGGGTCTCACTCTTGCTCAGGCCGGCCTCCAACTCCTGACCTCGAGCGATCCTCCTGCCTCGGCCTCCCGAGTAGCTGGGACTACAGGCATGCGCCACCACGCCCGGCTCATTTTTTCTGTATATTTTTAGTTGGCCAATTAATTTATTTCAATTTTTTCTTTAGTAGAGACGGGGTCTGGCTCTGGCTCAGGCCGGCCTCAAACTCCTGGCCTCCAGTGATCCTCCCGCCTCGGCCTCCCCGAGTGCCGGGACGACGGGCCTGAGCCTCCGCGGCGCCCGGCCCTGGACGTTCTGCGAGAGGCCGCCGCACGGAGCCCGAGAAGAAGGGGCGATCGATCCGAGGGCCAAAAAGCCCGAGAGGGGAGGCCCCGTCCTCGCTTTGCAAAGAGTGGAGGCCAGACGGAGACCCGTGGCCTCCCCGAGAGAGAGGCCGGGCGGGGAGTGGCCTGGCCGTCACCCCCAGTCCCCGCCCTGAGAGAGAGGCCAGGCTGGAGGGAGGCCAGGACGCTGCCCCGAAAACACCCCCCAGGCGAACAGGAATTTGCTTCTAAAAGTTGGGGGGAAAAAAAAATACGGAAACAAAAAATGACTAATTAATTTAAATTAATAATAATAATAAAAAAAAACAAGACAGCTCCCAGGAATGACTATTTTTTTTTTTTTTTGAGGGCCGTGGCGTCAGCCTCGCTCACGGCAGCCTCCAATTCCTGGCCTCGAGTGATGATCCTCCTGCCTCGGCCTCCCTCCCGAGTAGCTGGGACGACAGGCGTGTGCCACCACGCCCGGCTCGTTTTTTTCTATAAATTTTTAGTTGGCCAATTAATTTCTTTCTATTTTTTTTAGTAGAGACGGGGGTCTCGCTCTTGCTCGGGCTGGCCTCCGACTCCTGACCTCGACAGCCAACCTCCCGCCTCGGCCTCCCTCCCCGAGCGCGGGGACGCCAGGCCCGCCTGGCTCTCTCTGCCTCCA